AGGAGGTGAAGAGAGAGACACAGGAGGTGAAGAGAGAATCAAAGGAGGTGAAGAGAGAATCAAAGGAGGTGAAGAGAGACAATAAAAGACCCGTTATGTGTGCTGCAGCATTAGTAACTTGTCTTATTGAAGAATAAACTAACTCTTTCTACTTCGCTGATAAACAAAATAAAAGCCCCCTGTTAATTTGTTATTCTAAAATCTTTTATTTTGAAGCAGCCGAATCAGGACATGTATTAATTCCTGATAGTGAACACCTCGTTGGTTTCTGTTCCTTCCTTCATCCACTGATGGATAAATTGTCTAATTATTGAATCACTGCTGATTAACATGATTCACTTGTTTTCACATCGGTTTTCTTCTTCTGTTCATTTAATTTGCTTCAATAGAAAGACAACAAATAACAATTTACTGACTGCAGGAGGTGGAGAACCTCTGAAAACAACCCTCCTCCTCCTCCTCCTCTGTCCTCACAGAGATGTGTAATCACAGAGTGTTTACTGCTCTCGTAGCAATGACAGAAAAGCGCTCTGCTGGCATAAAGCAGATCCTCCAGAGAGCAGCTTTGTAAGTCACCTCCATCGTCACAGCTTCATTAAAAAGAGCTTCAGCACTAAAGTGACCCAACGAAGCTCTGATAGGACGCAGTGAGGGTGATGAGCGTGCACTTTTTAAACAAAGTACACTCACGTTAACACAACGCTGTTAACACTTCAAACCGGTCTGACAGTAAGACAGACATAAACGGACCGGATCAACACTAAAGAAGAAGAAGAAGAAGGACAAGAAGAAGAATGAGACAAAGACAACGAAGGCAACGAAGTCAAACACATTGAAAATCATTAGTTTCAGTCCAAGTGAACGAGACTTCCGGACCCAAAACGTCACAACGTATTGAGAGCAAGAGGACGTGTCCTGCTGAAGAGAAGAGGAACAGCTGGAGGTGACACACTTTCAGGTTCTTTAAAGTTGATATTTCGCCTGTCAGCAGCTACGTGCGGCGGCTCAGACGTGTTTTGATCTGTCCGGACGCTGCTGGATCTCACAGCCTAAAGGTTCAAGACTTCAGCTTATAGTTTAATCTACTGCTGAAGAGGAATGCTTCACTTCCAACAACACAAGCCAGCATGTCAGGACGGTCACTGTGTTCACTGTTGACGGTGTTTTCTGCTAAACGTAGAAGTGGTGCAGGTGTACCGGTGATCTCGAGGTGGGCCTTAACTAAAACAGGGTTACTATCTGGACGTGTGTCTCACTCACCGATGGCGAGGGTCATCACCTTCAGCTTGGTCCGCACCAGTTGGACCACCGTGCTCTTCTGCAGCGGCGTGGACCGGCAGCACAGCACCGAGCGGCAGCTCCGTGCCACCGCCAGGAACTTATCCTCCAGACTCGGGTCCAGGGCGTAGGCCAAGGTCCGGCCGTCGATCACCAGGCCCAGCCGGTGCACCGCGAAGGGAGCGCCGTGGGAGGAAGACGAGGAAGAGGAGGAGGAGAAGGAGGAAGGATAGATCTCAAAGGGGGAGAAGTTAGTGTGGAAGGACTTGGCGGCTTGGTCCGAGGAGCTGCAGAGGAATTTGGCCTGAATGTAGTGTAGACTCTCCTCCAGCAGCAACGCACACGCCTCCTGGTTCAGACACAGAGAGGGTTCAGGATCAGAGTCAGCAGATACCCAAACCTGCTTCACATCTGGACAACAGATGCAGGTCAGAAGTTAACATGTTGGTAACGTCGGTGTTTGATGAAAAAGGTCGATATCTCATGTCTGTGGAGTAAAGAAGAAGCTGTGGCTTCATATTCATGAGTGGTGCTGATCTTCTGATCAAACTCTCTGCAGGAAAGCAAATAAGTCAACTTTCCTAAATGTTGAACTGATTCTTTAACAGAGTATATGACTGTATATAAGAAGTGGACGTAGTCATCACGACGTCTCTCGTTGGTTTGTGGATGTTTGAAGCCTCAAGTTCAGCGTTTTGGCCGTCGCCATCTTGTCTTTTGCAACCAGTAAACAGGAAGTGA